TGCTCAGCTCTGTCACAAAGTAATTGCTACCAAAATGTGTAACGTGATTTAGAGTTTTTTAATCTTTTAGTCTGATGAAATGTCTAGGGAGATCTAAATATGTATTTTGATTCCTTGCATTCCTTATGCATTGTTTATATTTATTTCCAAAGCTTATATTATTCCCAAGCACACAGACAACACCGTGTGGTTAAAATTAATATCACAGAGATGTGTGTCTGTATCACAGACAGAGATGTGCTGTCTGTATCACCGGCAGCTCCTGTGCTGCATATGCAAAAGTAAACTTTAGTATATATTCCAATGGTCTTTTGACTCATCCCCTGAAACCTCAAGAAAGCCAGACAAAGTGACAGATGAACAAATCTCATATTTCCCAAAAAGGATACTATCAGAAGCATAAGAAGTAAGAGCTTCCAGGAAGGGGAATACCAAGGGGTTAGCAGCCCTTCCTTTCAGACCGACCGTGGTCCTGGACACTGGTCCTCCGGGAACCAAATCCGGAATCAGCACGTCCAGCACTGCCAGGATAACCCTGCTGGTCCTTAGCTCAGAGCTGAACAATTTGGGACTTTGGGGACTTTTGGATCCACTGATTCTCCTAAGACACTTGGAGTCATGTAACTCCCTGAAGCACTAATGCTGCACAGAGCAGTAACCTAATGCAAGGAACCTTCTCCATCCAAAGACTGGGAATAGCCCTAAGGCCAAGTATTTGTGCTGCTAAAACCCAGAGGGAAGTGGTACTGGAACCTAACTTTTCTTACTGCAGATTAAATATCTTTGTCCTTAATGAGGGGAAGACAGAAGAACCACAGGGCAGGGATCAGTCACTTCCATTGTGACACCTCAGGGACGCTCCTGGGATCCAAAGAATGCTACAGTCACAGGTTATGTCAGTGCACATGGAAACTGGTCATAATTGAATGCTAAAATATCACCATAAAAGAGCACAGAACTACAACTTGTTTTATTTTGGTCCTTTCATCCGAAGGAGCTTTTCTTTTCTTGTCAGATGTAGACTAGATAGCAACCCTGCCTATGCATTAATTTCAGGTAACTCTTTTAAAACACCAAATTAAAAGAACCCTCAGATTTGCCCCAAACTTGATTTTGGACAGCACTTTGTGCCTCAGTTAAGTTTCAAGGAAAGGCATTTAGTAACCTTTAAGCGAGGAAAATTAGTGCCAGTGATCCTTCTGGAGCAATTCCCCTGCAGTCCTGCGTCAAGAACATGAACTTGCACTTCACCCCGGGATGAAGGTGTCAGCAATCTCTTCATGCACTGTAAAACAAACCTCAAAGATCCTCCTGGAAAAACACAGTAAGGCTTATTGAGGTTGTATTTCATAGTGCTGTTACAGATACGCTCTATTAAAGACCCTGCTACAGAGTGGTCCTAATTATTGATGACAAATGTCTCAGAAAACGAGTCTTGCTCTTTGTTGATGAGAACATCAACAGATTTTAAATGTAGTTGTATTTAATTATACCTGGAGTCAACCTTGCTCAGCTGGGTACCTAGGATCATTCCTGCCTTGCTGAAGAGCTCTGTAGGTCCAAATATTCCATTTAAATGAAACACTTTCTAAATTAGAACAAAAAACAGTTGTTGTGATCTTTGTGTCTAGGCTACACTCAGGCTAAAAAAGGCTTCTCCTGTTCCATGCACTTGAGTTGTTAATTAGTGTATTTGCAATTTGGTTTGAACAGCTTCTGCTTTTTGCCATCTAACACTCTTTGCCTTGGTTTGCTTTTGTCTTGCTTCCTTCCTTCCTCTGAGAAATTAAATGTGCACAGAAACATATATATGTTTCTAGGGAATCTCTTGCTCAGTTTGGGTGCTTCTGTACTATCTTGAAGGATTTAAAATAGATGACTTTAGGGTCTTTTTGGAACTGTTTTGCCCCCTAAACAAAATCCCTTTTATGGTTTACTGCCATGATGCTAACTTTGGCAACACCTTTCTTGAGGTCTTCTCCCTGTAGGGGAGAGTATGAGAGAAGCCAAACTGTCTATGAGAAGAGGTCCACCCAACTGTGGCAGGTCACTAGCTGCAGCCATAGATTCCTTCCTCTCACGTGGGATCCCTTTACGTGAAAGGCAGTGTGTGACAGGCCTTTCTTTTCCAGGAGATCTTTATGCCTCACCAGAAAAGCACTGTTTTCCAGTATGCAACTGAATGACATAGATAGATGATGTAAATATGAGAAGCTGCAAAGACAAGTGAATGTTTTGCCCGTGTATCAACCCTAAAATATAGAGCTACAGAATGCATATTAATATAGATTATACCACACAGACAAATAACACAAAACCTTTTGAAGGCTGAGCTACAATCTGTTAAAGCAATACTTTTTTGACCTTCTCTTTCTCTCCATCCCATCCCTGATTGCTTTTAAAAAATTGGAGTTTTCTTCTTAATTCGGGGATTTTGAATTTGATTTGAGTTTACTTTTGGAATCAAAATATGATCATTCTTACTATAATAGCCTGCTATATGTGTTTTCTGTTTAAAAGAAAGTAATTTTTAAATTGTCAGAATGAAACTGTACTGTAGATTTATCTTTTGGCATGGACCATTTCTTTCTGCAAATGGACTGTACGGAAAAAAAATCTCCAAAAAAAATTCCAATAAATACATGCAACACAGAGTTGTAAACAAACATTAACTTGGCAAGAGAAGACTCTGAAAGCAATGGGACAAATCTGAGCAATTAAAAAATGTTATTAGCACAAAAGGAATATGCAACTCCTGAAGTTACTTTTTCATCAGAAAATGAGTTTTGTCTATGTAAAATGTGCAATGGCTTTTATATGAGGTGGGAACTTAAGAACTGTATAATTCCACAGAAAAGGCATTAGAAGGTCTGAGTGAAACTTTTCATTTGTCAGGTGAAGCTCTCTGAAAGATGTGGCATAATTACTGCAAAATAATGTGAATTTGACCTGATTTTCTGCCACGAGGATTTCAAAACTGCAGCTAAATCTGAAGCTAAAGATTCTCTGCAGAAAGGTTGCTCCCATCCCTTTCGCTTCCACATGGAAAGGTTATACTGTCCTGCACCACTATCCTGGGATGAGGGCATCTCCATGAGGGTTCACGTCCCATCCAGCAGCTGGAGACATCGAATTCACCTCATGCTTCACAACCGAGGCCTCCAGCAGCCGCTGGATCCAGACCTTCTTGTCTTTCCCTGCCACCAAGAACACGAGGCCTCCTCCAGGGCCTTACAGATGGGGTGGCTACAAGGCACAGGGTCCATCGTTGCCATCCCCACCGTGACCGCTGCAGGCACATCCAGCCCTCGTGCCTGACAGGCGGCTCCACGTGGCCATGGGGCACCGCAAGGGAGCTCTGGCTCCACCTCAGACCAGGCCAGACCTTCCCCACGGCGCAGAGGTACCTGTGGGAGCCTCCAAATCCGCACCGCCAGCTTTGCTGCTCCTGCATTAGCTGCTGAGGGTTCAGGCTACAGAATACACTGGCTTTGCCTGAGGAGGCAATCTGAGACGTGGAGACCCGTCAGCTCCTCACTCCCACCTCCACGCCATAGTTTGCTGCCCTCCCCCTGATGTGCCAATTCCATCTTTTTTTTTTTTTTTTAAATATATTTGGGTCTTTTCTAGAGCTTTACTGTAAATGAGATCATTGAAATAATCTGCTTTTAAAATAATCCTTTTTAGGGAGAAGGTTGCTGTAGTCTACAAAGAGCTCCCATAAAACTGGCACAATTGCTACAAACTGGAGCATAATCACGGAAATGGGCAGCCTGGGATGGAGAGGAGCAGGAATTTCTCAAAGCAGTTTCTCTCGCTCTAGTATACCATTAACTACATTTGGAATTTGAATCCCTCTTTTCCCCTTGAGGCTTTTAAAGGGTTATTTCTTCCCTCTGACCTCAGAGTAGAGGGAATCATGCAAAAAGTTCAAGAGATTCTCAGGGAGTTTCTAATGAGATATAGTCCTATGTGCACCTGGACAAACGTGAACCCAAGAGCACTAAATAAAGACTTCCAAAACATATGCATTATTTTGCACGCAAAAATCACCAATTTTGACAGGATTTTCAAGTCACTTGCCCACTTAAAGCCACTCAGGTTTCCTCTCATGAATGTTTCCATTATGGAACTCATCCCATCACACAGAATAGGAAATCCTGGAACAGTTTTTCTGTTTGTTTGTTTTGAAATTGGTTCATGCAAACCACAAGTAAAAACATCTTAGCTTTAATATAAGCAGTAACAGTACCAGTGAGCTGAGCGACCGCTGCAAATCTTTGAGTAACATCATTACTCAAACGGGACAGTTCCGTATTTACCCGGGAAGCTGTTTCCCACATTTTGCCTTCGAACCTGGGGGTATCTCAGACAGCCTGAAACTCCTGGCCAGGGAGCTCAGTGCCTGAAACTATGTGAGGAACAGTTAATAAATAAATAAGTAAATAAATAGATAAATAGATAAATAGAAGGGGAAAAAAAAAAAAGAAAAAAACAGCAAGTCTCAAGCAATGGTCAGGACATCCCCAAATAGGTCACACCTGCCAAATATAGTAAGAATGGTTAAAAAAAAAAAAAAAAAAAAAATCCGATTTTTAGCAAGGAGTTTCCTGAGCGCTCCTGGGCTTTTGCAGGAAGGGGATTGGGGCTCGCACGTCTATACGCTTACACTCCCACGCGCGGAGGAGCGCGGAGAAGCGCCCGGGGACCCGCAGGAGCGCGGAGGGACGCGGGGCTGCGCGGAGGGACCTGGAGGGGCGCGGGGAGGTGCGGGGGGACCCGGGGCGCGCGAGGCAGCGCGGAACAGCGCGGAGGGGCGCGGGCAGCGCGGAGGGGCGCGGGGCAGCGCGGAGGGGCGCGGGCAGCGCGGAGGGGCGCGGGGCAGCGCGGAGGAGCCCCGGGCAGCGCGGAGGGGCGCGGGGCAGCGCGGAGGAGCCCCGGGCATCGCGGAGGGGCGCGGGCATGGCGGGGCCCCGCGGAGCGCGGCGCCGGGTGCTCACCCGCCGGTTGCGGTCGGTCTCGCGCACCTCGTGCTCCTCGGGGCCCTGGCGCAGCAGGGCGCGCAGCACCACGGCGTTGTTGGCGCAGCAGGCGCGGAAGAGGCTCAGCGCCTCGGGGCTCTCGGGGCTCTCGCGGCCCAGCGACCAGCCGCACTCGTCCTCGTCCTCGGGCCCGCCCGGCGGGTAGAACGAGTCGTCCGAGGCGATGCTGCACGTGTCGGGCAGCTCCGAGAAGTCCTCGTACTCCTCGCACTCTTCCTCCTCCTCCTCCTCCTCTTCGTCCCCGTCCCGCGGCTCGTCCTGCCCCTCGGCGGCGGCGGCGGCGCCGGGCGGGCCCGGCTGCTCCCGCTGCCCCGCCAGCTTCCCGCCCTAGGGGCGCCCCATGCGCCCCGCCGCCCTTCCCGCGGCTCTTTCCCGGCGGGATTTGCGCCGCTCCGAGCTGCCCTGCGGAGCGGCGCCGGGAGCGGCGCAGGCGGCGCGAGCCTCCCGGCCCCTAATCCGCTCCGCATCCCTCGCAGGAGATTTGGGGCTCCGGCTTAGCCGCTGACATCAGGCGCGCCGCTCCGCCGAGGCCGCGGCCCCTTTCGCCGCAACAAGCTCCCGCCTCGCGGCCCGAGGGGCTCCCCTGGGAAAAGCGGGGTTCCCGCAGGGAGAGCCCGAGCCGTCCCCGGCGTTGGGACGCACGGAAGGGGCCGTGGGGAGCGCGGGGCTGCAGCCGGCGGGGAGGCGGCCCCCGCGCGCGGGACTCCCGTCTGCAACGGGGGGTGCCCGTTCGGAGCAAGGGGAAGAGGCACACCAGAGTGAGGGCGCTTACAGGGACAACTGCTCTTCCAGGCCGGAATTCCCAGCACCAGCACCCGCTGCTGACCCCGTGCAGGGGTATTAGGTACATCATTTTTAGACAAAACGCTTAAAGACGAAGTTGAGGGGAATAACGCGTCCCTGGACTGAGTTCCTGCTTTGCCACAGTTCTGTAACACCTGCTCTCTCCGTCTTTTTTATTTTTTTTCCTTTCAAACGGCATGGATTAGCACAATTCCCTGGCAGGGAAATGGTGGGGAATGCCCTTGAGCCACCAAAACGGGGTATAGCTGCACAAGGTGAAAGTCCAGGGTCCAAGTCAGAGGGAGATGAACAGACCTGCATTTCTGCACGGGGTGGCATTCACGTTTGCTTTTAATTTCAAGTAAGGTATGACTTGGAAGTCAAACATAAAGATGAGTGAAGGGGCTAGAGTAGTCGCTGTTCACAGTCTTTGGAGAAAACTACACGTGAAGCAGACACCACAGGTGCTCAAAAGACCAGAGGCCCCTTGAGGCTCTCCAGAGCATGGACAGATGAGGCAGTGGAGGCTCTGGCAGAAGGATGTCTGTAATCAGAATTAGTAATAAATAGCTCCCCAATTGGCTGCCTCTGCAAAGCGGCTCATCTGGGAAGAAATGAGATTAAACTGCTCGCTCACCTCCGGACACCTCTGAGGCCCCGGCTGGTGCTGACGCTGCCCGTCTCCTGTCATTTCCACAGGTGAGGAGAGGCTGACGTGTAGGGCAGCCCACGGATCAGCTGCTGCAGCCGCTCACGCCTCTGCAGGGCTGACTTTTTCTTCTTTTTGCCAATTTGTCAAGTGGTTTGCTTTTGAATTCCCAAAGCTCCAGAGCTTTGACAAAGCTCCACAGCCACCTTTCGTTTCCTGCTCCAGCAGCATCTCTGTTTCCTAGGGTATCACTTGGAGCTGGGAAGAACTGTGTTTTTCCTGGAGAACCAGCAGCTCACAGGGCACATTTGCATTCTCCTCATCCTCAGCTTCCTAGAAAGACTTAGAGCTCGGGAAGGCTTGGAGCCCCAAATTTTGTCTTACGTGTTATAAATGCTGGTCTGATAAAAGGTACTGTCTTGCCCTTGTACCTGATGTGCCTGATGCACATCAAGCAGGATGTAGGTGGAGATGCAGACCACTGGTAGGAACCGAGACCTCTGATAATCATTGTACCTGTGTGAGGATTTACTACAAAATTTCTGTGCAATATGCTGAATAAGGTACAGGCTATAGTCACATTCAGTAGCAAAAGGAAAAAAAAATTACTAGAGGGGAACAATGCCAATTTATTTCAATTTAGGAAGAAATGTCTGTAAGACACATTTTTTTATGTAACCTTCTGATACTCACCTGACAGGTGAATAGGGACAACAACTACTAGAGAAGAAACTCAGTTTTTAGCCTTTTTCCTATCTGACATTTCATGACAGCTGCTCTGGCGTGACATACTCCTTATTATTTTCCTCTTGCCAAGTCTGGTGTGCTTGGTGGCTGATTAATGGCTCTTTATCCTAAGTCTGAAGCTGCCAAACACTCACTGCTGCTCTGGGAAGGGCAGGGAGGAGGTGAGTCCTGAGCCCCAGCAGGTCAGTGTGAGGAGGGGGACACCGAGCACCTCGTGAAAGGTCTGACAACTCCTCACAGCGCTCGTCCCGGAGCTGCATCCTCGTGGAGGTGGCACTGAAAGGGGAATGAGGAAAGATGATACTGGACAAGCACCCCCAGCATGAAAATCCCCTCAAAACCAAGTCCTCCTCTAGTGCAAACAGCAGCTACACTTAACTTCTGAGAGCCGAGCAATAATCTGCCCAGCTTCACCAGAGCTTCCCTTTGGAGCTGCAGGCACTGGCTTGTGCCACGTTAAACACAGTTCTCTCTTTCCCTTCTTTCAGAGATGCTCTTGTGGATGTCTGTGTTGGTGGAATTAATGGCTCTTGCTTCCCAGAGCTTTCCTCACAGGCAAATTGAGATGCAGTCGGTGGAAATGCATCGGTTCAGCGGGGGCTGCCTGCATTTGCCCTCCTTTCCCTGTCTCCTGCTGCCTTTGAAAGAAAATACATTGTTTTACCAGGTCATGTATCCTTCTTTATTGATTTTCAGGTGGGTTTCCCATTGGCGACTTTGTTTGTGGTGAGAAGCACAACTAGTACGTCTTCACTGAAGGTAATTTGGCTTATTTGTTCTTACTTGTCAGGGATCTGAACAATATTGACTCTGCTTCATACCCCTCCTGAGCCTCCTTTTGTTTTCTCAAAGATCTTTGCTCCGTGATGGGCAACTCAGGAAATAAGTTGATGCGTGCAGACAGATTGCACTCTTCCCAACAGAAATGATTCAGGCAAACATTACCTAAAAGTTAAAATACAAGTCAAGTTAATTATCTAATGGCTTCTTCTTGAAGTCTTCCACCACCATGCAGCAGCTCTGGTATCCAGAGGTAGCTATCATTTAAAATATCATTAAAATATCATTAAAATCATATGTATCCTTTTTTTTCCCTCCCACTACTTTCCTTAAGAAGCCCATTCAGGAATCAAATGATGATTCTTTTCCCCACATTCCTTGGCTCAAACTCACTTTTATTTCTGAAATTTCATGCTTATTTATTTATTTAGTTTCTCTTTGGCAACAAAAGCATTTCTGGGTTCAGAACTGAGCTCATCAGCCTCTTAATGAAGCAAAAATGAACTGGTTTCTCCCCCAAAAGGTGGAGATTCTGCAGGCACCAGACAGATAAAAAACTGTTTTCTCCCATCGGAGCCTGACACTTTCATCCTTTCTTACAAAGAATAGTGCTATATTTTGTGAGCTTTCAAAATAAAATGTCAGACTAATATGCAGCAGACACTGAGTCTCTCTTTGAATTTATCACTTTTAACAACCACTGTTGAGACTATAGCTCACAGTATTTAATGCCCGTGTAGCTTGATGATGAACGGTAAGCTGCTACAGGACGGTGCACCTAAATGGACTGAAATTTCACCATTATTCCCCAAGACAATTTCCAACCATTCATCCTGCTGGTGCAGGAAATCTGACCAGTACTACTGAAGTGAATGAGTGTGGTTAGGTTTGTAATACAGACTGTATCTGAGATTCACATTTCTTCCAGGGAGGCAACTTATAGATGGCAAACAAGTCTTGTCATTTGTACTTCAGTGTGAAAATCAAACAGAAGCAATGTGAAAAAAGACAGGCCATAGAGGAAATGTAAATGCTTTCAAATTGAAAACAAACAACCAAATAAACAAAAACAACAACAAAAATATTTTATGATGTTTGTAGGAGGGCGGACAGCCTTGAAACCTTCATCTCTGAAAGGTAACAGTTAATGTCATTGAAATTAAATGCTGGTTTTCAGAAATTTGGAAATAAAAGCAAAGGAAACAAGATTATCATTTTAAAGCAAATAATCCAATGTCATTAGTCCTTATAATCAGCAGCATCTCATCAAAATTTACTGCCTGGAATTAACAAGGCAGGAAATTAAAATATCCGGAGCAGATCCTACCTGTCCCTAGGCAGGCAAAGCTTCCACTGGACAAACTGATTTTCCTAATGGCCATAGCATTGGGCATTCTCAGTTTGTCTCATTAAGGTTCATAAGTCATTTGATTTCTTAATGAGGTTCACATACAAAAGTAAAAGTCATACGGAGAATCAGTAAGTGTTAAATCCTCACTTTAGGTAAGGAAAAATGCCTTAGCAGTGAGGGGTATCACCACCACCAGTGGTCTGTAGAAAGGAAGTCTGGTCAGAACAAAAACCACAGCTTTCCAGTTTTAAAAGCAAATTATTTGGCTGTGTTTGCTTTGATTCTTTAAGTGCCTGAAATCAGACATTAACAAGAAGCCTGCATATGCTTTATTTTTGCCAGCCTAATGTCCATGTCCCCACTTTGGAAGTTCTGAAGGCATTTCTGTCCTCTCCAGTTCAGCTGTCCCTCCAAACCTATGGAACAAGAGAACTTGAACCTTACTTAGTGTGAGCCGGTAAGACATTCACACTGCCTATGCATCGTCCACGTTCACACCATAAATGAGCAGTTCAGACAGCTTCAGTGATTTAGGGGTTTTGTAAAGCTGCAGTTACACACAGGGAAGAACTTTCCACGGTGGCTTGGCTGGTCACTCTCTGCTTTGTAGCAGAGGAATCACCAGTTGCACCTTGCACTTTTCCTTTCTGTCCCCATTGAACAGCACAAGTTCCTTTTGCCAAAATGAGTAAGAAATGTTTCAGTGGGTGCCAAAAACTCTCTGACGACATTTTTACTGTAACTACAAAAGTAGCAGCAAAATTATGCACACCATAAGCAATGATCCTACTGCCTACACACACGAGAGGCACCAGAAGGCTCCCAAGCTGGATTCAACACAAGCTGAGTCAATACCTGGCTGTGTTGAGTGGCCATACCATGGGCTATGTCAGCAGTACACAGTACCTGGGAGCACGCCTGCTTCACGAAGCCTGTATGGCTTCAACTCTTTGGGATTTTAGGTGAGGAGGATCA